GGGGGAGCTTTCCAGGGCCCTTCCAAGTCCTAATACTCTGTGATTCTGTGGCTGTACACACTGCACAGTGTAGACTGCCTTATGATGCCCTCCATCAGTGTCTGTGAGCCTTAGACCTTAGGCAGACCAAAATGGGCAAGCCCCAAAGGAGTGGAAGGGTTGGGTTGAGCTATGAGGACGTGCTGTATGTACAGGTATTTCTGCTCCAGGTAAACCTTCCCACTTTCATAATTGCCTTGTCATCACAAGAGAGCAGAACTAATCCTGTGTATTCGGGAGAGGTCTTGGTTCCTCAAGTGTTTGTTTCCTGAGAAGGCATGGGATGCGTTGAGTAATGCCAGTGCCCCCATTGCACAGTCAAAGGTCAAACTTTTCCATTTATTTACTTCATTCAGAGAAGAGATAAAGAAACCACTAAAGGGGAAAATCCCCACTGGGTGCAGCCCTGAGCAGTCTGCTGTGGTTGACCCAGTGTTGAGCAGAGGGGCTGGACGCAGACCATCTTCAGAGATGCTGTAATTCTTGTTCATGGTTTCCCAAAACTGCTGAGCCATTCATTCTGAACCACAAGGCAGCGGCTGAGTTAGAGTGGCCGTGGAGACCATGTTAAAAACTCCAGAGGGCTTTATCTCTCCTTTAAACAAGGCTTGGCAATGCTTTGCAAAGTCTTATCTGACCATATTTATCTGAGGTTAATGCATTAATTAATAAATACTAAAGCATTGGTCTTGTACAGTGGGTTATAAAGTGGCACGTTTTTATACTAAAGCATTTTGTGTCTTTAAGAAAGCGGCGTGCAGGGGAAACCAGCTTGCTGGCCTTCAACTCCTGTGCCTGCAGTTCCCTCAGTTTCTTCATTAATTATTGTTTGAGCCAGCCAATTCTGACTTTTTTCTTTGAGTACCTGTCTTGGCTTATTTAGGTGCCCCTTAAAGTTCAGTAGCTAAAGGTTTTCACAGAAATGACCTTCTGAGCACTGTCTTCTGACACAAGGCTTGTGCTCAAGGGTGTCTCTGTTAGACTGATAAAACTGCTCGCCCCTCTGCAAGGGGAGCCTCTCAAGAGCTGAGGATGGTGTTCACGACAGGTTGTGATGCAGTCCAAGAAGTGCAATGGGCTGCGGCACAGCTGAGAGGACGTCAGGAAAGCCATTTTGTTGTTCCTATGGCCGATCTCTGAGCCTGGCCCCAAACTGGAGCCCCAGTTTGTTCCAGACCACAAGGGATGGATTCTGGAAAGGTCACTGTGTAATGTGCCCGAGGCGAATGCTGTGAACTCCTCCTGCTGTCCTTGGCTTGGTTCCTCATGCCTGAGTCACAGACTTCAACCTTTCTGCTCAAGCAGTTGTCTCTGCTAGTGATTCTGCAGAACTTTGGGCACTTGCAGCCTTGAGCTGGGCAAGGTGGATTTCCAAGGATTCCAGGAGTATTCAGAGCATTTACGTATGGGGTGTTTCCCCAGTTTTGACCTGACTTATTTCCACGTAGGAAAAGCCGTGGTTTTGCTGGAGGAAGGTGCCAAAAAGGTGCTGTATCTGACAGGCTTCAAATGAGGCATTTTTCTAGATGAGCACAGCAAATTGCTTAATTATTGCTCCTTAAATGGCCAGGAAGTGCTTGTTTTGTGTAATCACATTAAGATATCAAATGAGCAATTAGTCAGTGTAAGAGAGACTGGTGGAGCAGAACAGGGAGAGGTTTGTAAATGAGCAGCTCTTCTTTTACTGGGCTCTCAGTGTTACTGGAGGTTATGAATTGCCAGTGAAAAGCCCACTGTGGGAAATACAGGGTTCAGCACAGCCACCTGCAGACTGTGCTTCAGAGGCAGCTGCTCTGCCCGTGCTGTTGTTAAACACCCTTTCTAAATGCAAATTTAGGGTGTAATAACACTTGGTGTCTGGCTGAAGTTCCATGGGGAAATTATAACCCTGTACTCCGCTGTCACAAGGTAGGATGTGGAGTTAAGGCTCTGTAGTGGTAGCTACAGAGCTGCTTCTCAGTGTGGACACTTCTTTTCCTGGAAACATCACTTTTGTGGGTTTTGTGTGTTGCCTTGGAAGGACTCTGAACAAGAGCGACTTGTCTGTGAGAATAAAGTAGCTGAGAAAATAGCCTTTGGTGCTGGTGATTACTGATCCCTCAGCGTTGCTTGTGAGAACACCCCTGCTTAAAATTCTGTATGTATATAAATACACATATATATATATATGTGAAATGTGTATGATATAGATATAGATATAGATATAGATATCTTGAAAAGATGTGGTTCTGGACCAGGTTGACCTTCTGCCCTGGCTGTGGTCTTGGCAGCTCCTGACAGACCCAGATGCAGCTGCCATGAGCTGTGGTTGTGTGAAAGCAGGGATGCTGGTCCTGCTCCTGCATCCGGACACCTCTGGTCACGTAAAAGGTTTCCTACCCAAATCTAGCCAGGAGGTGTGGAGGAGCCGGGGTGATGGGCACAACTGCCCTCTGTGCCCAGCAGCAGCCTGGCTCTGTGGCACACAGCAGTGTGGCTGGCTGTGCCGAGGCAGAGGAGGATGCTGGAGGAATGCAGTGCTATCTTAAGAGATGATGGCAGCAGAGGAAAATGCAGTGAATCTCGGGGCATGTAACAAGCTGTGGCTGTTAAATGCACAGCGGTGGTTTTATTTCTGTAACGTGGGAGGTACGCTGGCAGGCTGAAGCCAGCTTCATTTTCCACTGTGGTTATTATACATATTTCTCAGGCTGGTCAACCTCCAGGCTGCAAGAGAAGATGCTGGCTCGCTGTTATTTCCAAGTTTCTTAGTTTGCAGCCAGCCTTGTGGTGAATTAATTCTGTATCAGTCTGGTGAAGTATTTGGAAGGAAGAAGAGGGAGAGGGAAGGAGACACAGCGCTCTTCCATGCAAGGCAAGTGCTAAGGTTGCACTCTCAGCCTGCCAGTGGATTACAGTTTAAAAAAGTGGATTTTTAAAAGTGCATTGATCGTGAAGTTAGACTAACAACTTCTTCCACAGAATCTGGCTTGGAACTTCTAGTTATGTGGAAAGCCAGGGACTAGGTATTAGAAATGCAGGTGAATAACCTATTGCATGTCTCTTCTGTCACTAAAGTGGATTTTTAAAAGTGCATTGATCGTGAAGTTAGACTAACAACTTCTTCCACAGAATCTGGCTTGGTACTTCTAGTTGTTATGTGGAAAGCCAGGGACTAGCTAGATGGTATTAGGAGTGCAGGTGAATAACCTATTGCATGTCTCCTCTGTCACTCAAAAACCTGTCGTCAGCTCACAGGTTTTCACTCTGTTTTGCTTTCAGACAGCCACGATGCCGTCTTGCGATTCAATGGGGCTCCTACCAAGGGGTTTCAAGAAGATGTGGGGCAAAAGACGACCATTCGTCTTGTGAATTCCCAGGTAGGTCTGGCCAGCTTGTGCCAAATGGGCCAGGCGTGCCCGAGCTGCGCATCTGCCCTGTGCTGCATGGGAGCTGAGCAGCAGGCTGCAATAACATCCATTCGAGCAGAGAAATTTTCAAGCGAGAGAAGGAGAAATAGCAGTGCTGTGTGCTGGTGAGGGAATGGAGTGGGGCAGTAAAATACCAGATGGGCCTGGAGTTGTTGGGTGAAAGAGCTGGTGTAGCACTGCACCCAGGAAGAACAGGATGAGGCTGTAGGCACATGGAGACTGAGGGGGAGTGGGAGAGAGATGGGAGACCGAAGCGTAGCTTTTGTACTCCAGAACCAAATAGGCTGTTTCCTTGCCTCACCCCAAAGCTGAGATTTATAGCCCTAGAGTTTTCTCATCTGCTTCTGCGGGTGCTGCTGTGTAAGCAGGTTTGAAGCAGCAGAAGCTTGGCCATCCTCTTCAAAGGAGCTAGCTTTCCCTGGTTCATTTTGCATGTCTTTTGAAGCATGGCCTTGCTTCTTGAGCAAATGCTGTTGCTACCTTTTCCTGCTCTTGAGTCTCACCTTCTGTCCTTGCTGCCGTGCTCTCTTCTGCTGCTTGCTGCATCTCGATTTCCCTGCGTTAAACCACAGGTCGGATGTGGGACGCTTTGTCTTTTCTGAACCCATCTGGTTTAGCAGACCTATCTGGCTGCTGACATCTTTCTTCCTCTGCCCTGCTTGATGTCTCAGGTTTTTATCTTCCCCTTGGCTGCGTTTTTGTGATGTCACAAGCGTGTTACCACTTCAGAAAATTTTCTCGGCAGGATGTGCTCATTGCCAAACTTACTGTGAGACAAAGTTATTTACCAGCAAAACCACGTATGTGACCTGTGTGATACCAGGGTTATATACACAGGGAGGAGGGGTGGTTGTGCAGCTGTAGTAGAGCAGCAGTAACTCTCCATGTGGATGCTCCTATTTTGGACAAAGTGTAGTTACAGCCGTGTGGTTATAGTGCTGCTGTTCTCCACGCAGCCATGGGTCACACTTATCACCTGCCACTGTCCCCTCTGAACAGAGACACCAGCTTAGAAAACTTCAATTACAGGGAGAGCAAATTTGTTGCAGTTTCTAGAGGCTAAATGAACTCAAAACGTCGTGTTGATCTAACTGCTGAACGGGGCAAAAGATGCTCTCTGTGAATAGTGAAGGAGTCTCTCTTCTGGAGTTTCCAAGCTGAGGAGCTCTAATTGCAGTCCTTGTTATCTTCAGGGGCAACTGGATTTGGAGCCTGGTTTTCTTCTGTGTTTTTATTTGCACTTTTAATGGTTCAGTGCTGTTCTAGTTGTGGTGGCATCACTTAACCTTCTTGTTAGTGGGGTTGCCTGATTGTGTTTTGTTTTCAGCTGCTTGCAGGCATCAGATACTGGCTGGACTCTGCAGTTCATTCTTGTGCTGGGTTTGGCTTTTCTCATGTTGTAAGTGGTCGCTGGGAGCAGGGGTGGGATTGTGGCTTGGCTGCTCGCATTGATCAGTCCTTGGTCCATTCCTAAGATGAAGGAAATGGGATCTGTTGGATCTACTCTGTTTAAACTAGTCTATTGAGCAGTAACCCTTTGGCATGTGTGGCTAGTGACCTTAAGTTGCTTAATAACTCTTTGAATATAACTCTTCTGTAATTTGCTGACCAATTTCTAGCACGTATCATAGGGATATTTGATTTTAATAGAGAGTTGGGGAATCCTGTACATTGACGTGCACAGGAAAAGATGAATAGATTCATACTGGCAGAGGGGTAGAAGTTTGGATACTCAGATCTGAGGATAGGCTTGTAGATCCACGAGTTTGGTAGTTGTACTAAAGAAAGTAATTCTTTAATACTCCATTGCTTATTTTCTTAGACCTCTGCTGGTTCATCAGTACTGCCTCCTCTAATGGCATGTTTTCCTGCGGTCTTACGCAAGGCATCGATTTGCCCTGGGAAAGTGCTCGCGTCTTGCAAAAATAAGGGTTGAAGAGTGTGTGTGGGGAGTGCCAATGTCATTCTGTAGGACACAGCTCCCTTCTGCAGAGCTGACTGAGGACCAGAGGACCTTGTGTTCCTCCCAGCCCTTGTTCACAGCTCTCCTTGGCTGGCTTTCTCACTGTCTCGAAGAGCACTCTCTGCTTTGGCTGAGTTTGCTGTCATTGTCACTAATGAGCATGCAGGGAGGAAGAGAAAAGAGATAGCAGTTAGGTCAAATGGAGTTAAGAGTTAAGATTGTGATGGGAAAGGGGAGGGTGTTTAGATTACAGGGCATTGACTGCAGAGAGGAAGAACTTGTTTTGATACGGTCAATAAACATACCAGGAGGGCAGGGGCTCGATTAGCAAGATACTTGCTAAACAGTGAATTGACTGAAGAACAAATTTAACTAGGAAAACAATAGATCCGTTATCTCCTTAGGATCAAAAAGCCAGACAAGACAAATAATAAGTTGTACAGCAATTTAAATGAATTTAACTACTCAGAAAGGATCAGTCGCTATTAAACAAAACAAATAAGCACCAAAAGGGTCTGGGGAGCCAGGTTCCTCCAGCAGGTGGGTTAAGTGACCAATAACCAACTGGTTGTGCCCAGGGCCGGCTCCGTGGTGTGGGGAAGGAAGCAGCAAACCCTGTGTGGCTGCAGGGGTGCTCCCCACCTGGTTTCTTGTCCCTTTGCTTTCGTGCCTGTGCAGCTCTCTAGGGGTTTGTGTGCCTGTGCCAGCTCTCATGGCTTCACTTGGCTGACCTTTGCTTCCTGCGCTGCTCAGTCTCTCTTGGAGCCTCCTTGCATGTGTTTCACATCAGAAAATTTCCTGAAAGGTTACTGGCCTTTAAATAGAAACAGTGAAATGAAAATCAGGTGCCAGTGTTCCTTGCCCTATCCCTGCCCGTCGTGGTGCTCCATCACACTCCTACCTGGCTGGTGCCAGCTGCCCTGTCCTCTCCTTGCCTCTGGTGTCCATGGAGTGGAGGCAGGAGTTCACACCTGCGGCCTTGCGCGTTCTAGCTAACTAATGGCCTAGATATTTTAGCTGCCGTAAGGAAATGAAAGCAGGCAGTACACGTGGTCAAGGCCAAAGCCTAATCCCGCAGAGTTAAGAACAGATGTGAAGAAAACCTTTTCACTTTTGGGATAATTCACATCTGGGCTGGCCAGACTGTCCTTGTGCTCTGGTTATGGGGACAGCCAGGAAGGCAGCTTGCTGCTGGGGGCAGCTGGAATACTCAAGGGTAAATTGGCCAGGTCTTAATTAGATCTGTAGTGAAAATCAGGACAAATGGGGGCTCATTTCTGTAATGGTGCTGTTCTTCAGCAGATGTCTGCAAGCTGTTTCTGTGCAGGTTATGCTCTTGAGTGGGGAGGACAGGAGATCAGTCCCTGTCTCATTTGATTCTGTTTGCTTTTTAGCTGCAGACCTGGGTTGCCCTCAGGTGTCATGAGCTGTGATGGTCGTGGCAGCTTCCCTGTTTGAACCACCCAGTTGTGTTCATTTGGGAAAGGCTCTGGTGGAGCAGTCTCTCTCTCCCCTGACATTGTCTGTAGCTCATGTGCTTTGCTGTTGTGGTGCTTTCCTTCTCATCACCAGATTCAAACCTCTTTGGCGTGAGTTGCATCCCCCTGCTCTGGAGAGGCAGGGCCAGCTGAGGTGCCGTGCTCTCTTGTCCCTTGCACTCCAAGGTTCTTGATAAAGCCACCAGGGTGCTTGCATTAGGCTCTTCTGGCCTCTCCTGGTGTCTGGTGTTCTCACCTGCTTCTGGTAGTTGTCACAATGGTATCCATCGTGGAAGCTGGGGCACTCTGGGGGTCCTTGTTTTTTATTGAAGACAGAAAAAAAACAAACCCTTGTAGAGTGAAATGACAATTTTTCTTGTGCCTCTCCACCAAATCCTGTGCTGCTGGATGGGACTGGCGTGGGCGTTGGAAGGCCATCGCTGGGGGTTGTGTCCTTGCCTGCGTGCAGTGGGGCATGCTCAGTAACCAGCAGTGGGGTGGCTGTATTCAAGGGTGTTTTACTGCTTGCCTGTTAATTCTGACAGCATATCATATGTTATTGTGTTTGTTCTTCTTGTTGTTCAAGCTTGTAACCGTTGAGGAGCAGCGGTTTCTGAGGGACGCGCTATATAACACTGGAATCTTAATTGTCTGGGATCCAGCACCGTATCATGCAGAAATTAAAGAGGTAAGGCTGAATTTTCTGTAAATAAAATCGGGTTTATATACTTGGAAGTGCATCTGTAACCTGCTTCCTACTGATGTGGGCAATCACTCATTTTAGGGCCATTCTTGATTACCTCTTCATTATCATGGCTGTATCCATGGGTACTTCTGGGTGCACGTATGCGTGTGCTCCTAGAGGAACACTTGCTGTTCCTGGTCCCTGTAAAGGGCCTCAAGCCAAGTGTAGTGGGTCACTGATAGCTGATGCTTGGATATTTCAAGTGCTAGTCAGACATGAGATACGTTTGATGTATTATGAACAGATTGGGAAACCCTCTGAAGATCTTCGCAAATGTCTCCTCTGTGTGTTGGCTGGGCTTTCACTTGTGGGTGTTGCAATCCCTCTAGCATTTGCTTTTCATTTTGAGTACAAAAGGGCATTATTTGATAAGCGATGAGCTCTGGAGGCTCAGTGTGAAAGCAGGTAGGAGTGAACAGTCCATTCTTTCCTTTAATTCTAAGCTCTGTCTAACTGACAGGTCTTTGCATTCCTTTCTCTGGATTACATTTCCTATTTTCTTACTGCTGTTTATTCTTGTGTCTAGTCCTGTACCTCCAGGAGACGTGGGGGTATGTGTCCAGCATGTTTAAGAGTCGGTAAAACAAGGATGGGATATTTTTAGAGTAGGAAAAAAAAAATCTCAAAATTACTTTATGGAAACATAAACCCTTCCAAAGTGGTTTTTACTGAAAGGTGAAGTTTTAGAATGCAAATCAACTTGGCCTGTTTTAGGAGGCTATGCTGAGGACACTTGCCTGCAGAAAAGGCCGTTTTGTATGTCAGCACGCAGAGGGATCGGGGTCTGTAACGCTTCAGGCAGACTTCTCAACATCATCTGCTATTGGAGGGTGCAGAATGAAATTGTACGAGGTGGCTGATCTCATTTAATGATCCCTCACTGCCAGAGAGAGGAGATTCAGGTTTTTTCTGCTGTGGTCACTGAGTCAAGTCACCACCACGACCCAAAGGACAGATGAGGTGGTAGGGGACAGAGGGTGTGTGTGTGCAGGTGTAGCAGGACCTTTTCCCCCTGTCAGCAGCAGGTTCGCTCATCCTTGTTTCCAGTTGGTTATGGGAAAAAGTGGGCTAGAGATAAAGAGAAGCTGACTTCTTCTTTCTGCTTTCCAGTGGTACAGAAAACCAGACTACAACTTCTTTGAAAGCTATAAATCCTATCGTAGTATACATCCAGAGCAGCCCTTCTATATCCTGAATCCAAAAATGCAGTGGCAACTCTGGGATATTCTACAGGAGAACTCCATGGAGCAAATTCAGCCTAATCCACCGTCATCAGGAATGCTTGGTGAGATATTTGCCCTGTAAACTTCTCATTCAATTTGCAGGAACACTTCAGGATGCCTTTTTCCCAAGACAGCTACAGGTTTATGGTGCTTATCAGAGTTGCTTTCATGGTGTTTGTCTTATGCCAAAATTCAAGCTTCCTGTCTTTAAAGCAGCAGCTCAGTTGTGTGAAAGTAAACCATTTGGAGCGCCCCTCTGAAACAGCAGCTACAAACGTGGCCTGGTTCCACATGGGAACAGGAGAGCAGATTGTAATGCTGAACTGGTCCCTAGGATTTCTAGCTTCGAGTGCCAGAGCAGTTCCCATGGGGTGCGAGAGGAGGGAAACGGCTCCTGCAGGCTCAGAGCTTGTCAGGCAAATCAATCTGCTTACTGCAGATGAAATCTAAGTGCTTACCTATTTTTATATATATATATTAAATGGAAATATAGATATATATGGAGAAATATATATAGCTAAAGACTTAATGGGGCTTGAGGATGGTCGGGGTCTGTCCAGAAAAGTGCAGTGATATTCCGCCTTATTCAGCATGCTAAATCCAGCCTTGGTCAAGGGGCTCATTTTACATTCTGCTGTTGCAAAGCTTTTCCTTCTTACTGAAGAGCAGATGTCACAAGCAGCTGAATAGAAAGGAGTGAACTTTTCATCAAGTTCACGTGTATTTGAAATCATGGCATAGACATGTGGTGGTTTGCCACGGGGATGTCCAACTACTGTGCTTTAGCTTCTCCTCTGCTCCCATCACTGTGGGGGCACAGGTGCCCTTCTACATCTGTGTGAACAGAGTCACTTCTTACTTTTGCTAACCCAGTGTAGTTTTCTTCCACAGCCTTGCCCAACACCCGTTACAGCATTGCTGGGTTATGTGCAGAACAACTGTGTAACGTCATCCTCAATGACTTCAGCAGCAAAATTGCTGTTAACTTGAAGTTAAGGGCTTAAAGGCAGGCACTGGGTCATTTCAGGCAATTCCTTTGTGGCTTAACTTTGGACCAAGTTACCTGCTTTGTAAACAAGTCACCTAGGCAGGCCTGGGGGGCACAGATGAGTTCTGGTTTGCAGCTCTGCATTTCCTGGAAGACCAAAGAGTGAATGAAAATTGTCATTTGAAAAGGTGGTTGAAAACACATTTAAAATGCACCTTAGTTAAACAAGTGGTTTCATGGCTGGCTTCTTCCAATGTCTTGTAAACTGCATTCCTCTGATCACGCATGGTCCCTGGTGTCTCAGATACCGCATGGATTTTCTGTGACATTATACATTGGTTCTATTTCCCTGGTATATTCTTGCTGTTTCTTGCACTTGGAAGAAGAGTAGCCAGCAAGTACGGCTTACTTCTGATCTGGCCAGAAAGTTGACAGATCTGTGCCCAGCACCTATATGAACATCCTGGAGTGGTTCATGTGCCTGTCAGAAGACAGAGGAGGGCAGCACTGCTCTGCTGCGGGGGAGCCAGGGGACCCTGGAGAGCAGGGGCTGCTTCGGCTCCATGAGCCATCTCCAGGCTCAGCCGCAGTCCCCTGCGCTCACAAGAGGCAGCTGGGGAAAAGGTGAAGGTCTGATTGCTGCTTGCCCAACACAGGTTTGAGATGGGCTGTTAGGATCAGTGCATTTGGCAGATACTCAAGTTTCCATGAAGGTCACAGAGAACAGCAGCGCTCTTAAAAATTGGCCTTTCGGCATAGCTCTCACTGTAACCATTCTGCTGTAATCAAGTCAATCATAGGCTTTGCAGGAGAGGGCTTCAGAACACAGCCCTATCTGGCCAGGCTTGTTTTCAGCCCCTCTTGTCTGAACGTTCAGGAAGGCTGGGCTGTTTAATGGGTTCTCTGGTTTGACGTGGGGATGTCTGCTTGCTTTCCCTCCCTAGGCATCGTGATCATGATGACGCTCTGTGACGAAGTGGACGTGTACGAATTTCTCCCTTCCAAGCGGCAGACAGATATTTGCCACTATTACCAGAAGTTTCACGACCGTGCCTGTACCATGGGAGCTTACCACCCCCTCCTGTTTGAGAAAAACTTGGTGAAGCACATAAACCAGGGCACGGATGAGGACATCTATACTCATGGAAAAGTTACTTTGCCTGGCTTCCGAAACGTGCATTGCTAGCAGATCGTTTCTTAGCGTGTTGGGGAATTTTTCTTGATTGTCAAAGCACTTTTTAAATCGGGGTTGTCAGGTTTGTTAGGTCTAAGCACTGGTGTGTTTTGACAGCTCTTCCATGACGCAACACTTGCTCTTAGGACTTCGTTGCCTAAATTCTCCCAGCTGTAAGGCGCTGTTGATGCGTTGCGGTACGTCCACGTGGTATCTGCATGAGCCACTGCAATAAATTTACTCCCGGTGGAGCCAGGCTCATGCAGCAGGTGGATATCTCTGTCTTCATCTCAACCAATTTTATGGGAGACACAGGAGAGGCTTTCCTAGCAGAGATTGCACATCAAATGCTGAATAGAGTTCAGTTTGCTTCAGAGGGGTTGACAGCTGAAAACCTGACCCATTGAGAAATTATAAAAGTAATTTAAAAGATGTTCCTGTAGTCCTAGGGGATCTTTGGAGCAGGGCTGGTTTATGGAAACACTGTCAAAGCTGTGTACTGATAAGCTAAACTCGAAATATTTGATTTTATAAACAGTTTGTAAAATAACCATGGCCACCTCCTTTCAAATTGTAAGACTTCCGAAATAATTCAGGTGGCATTTTAGGCAAAGGAAAAGAAAGGCAATTCACATTTCAGTGATTCTTGCAAGACTTTTTAATCTTCTTCTGGTTTTGTGGGGTTTTTTTTTAAATTGCTTAAAATAAATTTTAATAAAAATTTACTTCTCCAGTACAGTGCTGTGCTTGGTACAAAAGAAGCCTTATTTCAAAAACATTTTGGGCAAGATGCTTTGAAGCACAAATGGGAGAACTTGTGGGAAGATGGTCCCTCTTTCCTACTGTCTGCCTTTGCAATTATTGGCAAATTAATTGCTGGCTCACCTCTGGTAACAGAAATGCTGTGTAGCTGCTGGCCAGATGAGTTCCTGTTCTCTGCAGGTTACTCAGGGTAATGTAGCTGCATTTCTTCATTGCTCATTGTCATGAAGCTGTTGTGTGCTTCCTGCGTAGGTGGGGAACAGCTGAGTGGTGAGGAGGGAGAGCGTGCTCTGCTTCTCATGCTGAAACATGGGGGAATTGAGGAGGGCAGCTTTGCCCTTCTTGAGGGGACTCCCCAGTAGCAGTATGGAAAAACCCTCCCAGCCCTCTTTAGTACTGATGTGTTTCACGTCTGTAAAGAAAGCTTTTTCTTCTCCTGTTTTGAATAAACGCTGTGGAGCCGTTGGCCCGTTCTTGCCTTGGTGAAACCAGTGTACATGTTGTTGCTCTGTGGCCATGGGGACGACTTCCAGCCTTTCACCGGTGCAGGCAGAGTCAGGAGGGAGCTGCTCAGCTGCTCATTTCAGTAAGCCCATGGCTCTTACCCTGTCTTGGTGAGAGTGCTGCTGTGAGCTGTTCCTCCACCTCCAAGGCTGGCTTTCTCCCACTCGTCTGTTGGGATGGATTAGATCTGCTGGTGTTTACTAATGGTATGTCATGTCAAATATGTATGTAAAGAATTCCAGGTCTTTACACTACAGCGCAGAGGCACTGGGACAAGGATGTGATGAAGCCTATGACCTTGGTAAGCATTCGTGTTCCCTGTTAGGCAAGGAGAGAGCTTATGGAGAAAAAGCCAGCAGAGGTTATTTGAGAGACCCATAGCAAATCTCTGTCCATCTCCACTCTGTTTGTAACAGTCCTGCCTCTGGCCTTTACATCATGGGGATATCTGCCACAGAGATTTGCCTTCTTCATATGTGTTTAGCTGGGATTTGAACAGCTTCTGCCTTTTTTTCCCTAGGCTGTCTCATTTGTTATTTCTTACAATGTTATTTTCCCCCTGTCTCCCCTGCTGGGATGCCTGGACCAGCCACCCTGCTTGGCTTGGGCTGCATAGCAGATGGATGGCACCTCTCACAGTCTGCCTGCTGCTCACCTGGGGGTCCCCCAAACCACCTTCTCCTCTGCAGTCCTCTTGCAAGAAGACAAAATGCCAAACAGGCTCCCCAGGGTCTTTCAGAGCCCTGAGTTACTCACAGGCAATAGTGTTGCACTGGGCCTGACATTTCAGATGTTGTGCAAAGTTTTAGCTAGATCCAACTTGTGATTCATTTACAGCCTAAACAGGGTTTTACAGGAATTATGACAGAGCTTAAAATAGACCAGTGTTAACCCTCCTTTTTCCCCCTCTATTATTGGTTGCATAGATCCAAATCTAGTATAAATGGCAAGTGACGACAAGTCTGATATTTAGAAGAGCCAAGTTGAAGTTAGTGGGCAGTAACAGCTAGACTGTAACAAAAGCCTTGTCCCTCCTGCGGTCTCTAACCATTTCCAGAGTGTGAACAGCTTTTTATCCATGTGGAAAGTGGGAACAGGGCAATGCTGCCCTTTCCAGTGAGCATCCGAAGGGCTAAGTACTGGGAAAGGTGCTTGGTAATGATGCAGGAAGGGTGTGAGGTAAGGTCAGCAGGCCTGGGGAGGAGGAGAATGAAGGGATTATTTTAGATTCTGATGTAGGAAGGATCTCTCCTCTGGATTGTGGTGGTACTTCTGTTTCTGATTAGTGCTTAGAAATAACTCTTCCCGTAGCTGTAACTTCATAGCTCCTCCCTGCAGAATAAGCTGATCTATAGCACTCGCAGAAGCTGCAGTCTTTGTAGTACTGAAAGGGAAGGGAAAAGGAAAGGGAATGGAAGGGAAATACTGGAAGGTGATGGGAACTCCAGCTTAGAGAGACAGAGTATTGCACCTATACAAAAAATATATATTAGTATGATAGTGGATTAGTTAATAAGCACTGTCAAGATATCTTATTTCTACGTGTGGACTTGGTCCTCGCTTGTCATTTTGAAAACCTGGCTGGTTCAGATTTAAAGACCTGGAATTGCAAAACCGGAGGCAGTTCCTTGAGGAAATCTCACCCTTCGATAAGACCCGTGATAATCAAATATTATCAATTATTTAGACAAGGCAGTAGAAACTAATTCATGATGTTAAGATATCAGGACGTGAAAGGGTTTTTTCTTCACACTGTAAATATCCCCGTCTTACAAAAGGGTCTGGTCTTAAATGCAATACAGAGCAAAGATTGGTCTTGATCTGGGACTCCAGCTGGAAACGCTTTCTTCTTCCTCTTTGCCTTTAGGTGGTCTAGAGAGCCAGCAGCATGGGTGTGGAGATGTTATCTGGTGAGACCAGAGCCCAGGGGAGGTGAGGTAAGGCCAGCTGGCAGGGGCTCGTGGTTGGACAAGGAAATATTTGGGTGATGTAAATGCCACGACAGTCTGTTACTGGCAGAAGAACATTGGACTTTATTCTCTTGGATGAGAGCTTTCACTGTCTGAGCTGACAAAACTGCCTGTGGTTTGGGGTGGTTTTGGTGGTTCTTTGTTTTGCTTTCACTCAAGGGAGAAAAGTCCCTGAAATTCACATTATATGCACCTGAGTCAACACTCTCTTCCTCACCTCCCCAGGAAGAATAGAGTGGTTGAGTGGGAACTAGCTCTGACAAGACACCAGTGTATTATCAGTGATGGATAAAAAAATACATGCTGGCACTTCCTGGAGAGAAATGAAGCCGCCCTAGCCACATATTCCTTTTGTTTTGTGTGTGTGCACCCAAGTAAAGGTGCAGGTAGAAGCAAGAGGGTTTATTCTTCTTTGCTGTGTACCGTGAAGTCTGATGCTGTGGCCAAGCACTGCAGATGTTTGTTTTCACTTGTGAATTGTACAAGGAAACTCGCTCACTTGCTTCAGGTGGTGGTACAAAGCACAGTGCAGAAGCATTAGGCTTCATTTTGGAGCAGGGAATTTGTGTGCATGACCATATGTGTCTGAGATCCTAGCAAGCACTCCAGAAACAATGTGCTTCCTTTATAGGGAAGATGGAAGTGGGAAAGAGCTTGTGGGAGTGTGGACGTGTTACATGGTGCCCTGAGAAGGGAGCAGGCTGCAGTTGCCATGTTCAGGACCTAAGAGTTAATGGGCTTACTGGGAGATACTGGGACCCACCTGGCTGTGTGCCTCACTGCAGGGGAGAAGGAACCACAGATCAGGTCTCCTTTTTGAAGACAGCTTGCAAGGAAGAGGATGTGCTTGTTTCTAGCTTGTTTTTAAAAGATGGATGAAGGAAAACTGGTAAGTGGGCCTCGCTGCTCTGTAAGCAAATAGCTTCTCCTTGAACTAAAGTCAATGAGCTGCTTAGCAGCCTTGTCTTGTGAAAGGTATGGAAAATGGGTTCAGTACACAGGACTGACTGGTTATCCCGATAACACAGCGGAGGGAGGCCTGGTGATACACAAGTTGTCTGCTGTGCTAGAGCTGGGTATGGAGGGCTGCTTTCAGGGCATTGTGCTAGAGGGTTGCAGACCCAGGACCCTCGTGCTATGTCCACTGAAAAAGGAAGGAGCCCTGGTAGGGGCCAGCTTTCACGCTTCATCTTTCATCCAAGTCCTCTGAAATGCCTTCCCTCTGCAGACAAGTGGTCCCTGGTGCTGCTTACGCTCCAAGATCAGCTCTGTGTTCAGGTGAGATCTCAGGCCACAGTCCAACTGCTTTTACAGGAAGAGTTCTGAAACTTGCACATTTCTTGTTTGCTCCCCTATTTTGCTTTTCTGAGCGTGTGCTGGCATGCCTTCATTTGTCTGTGGCCAGTGGGAGAGCACTCCTACCTGCATCTGGTGAAGGGTGAGGTGATGCTACAGAATGTTTGCATCTCCACACTTTGTGTCTATTTGCTCACCTGAGCTTATATTGCAACTTCAGGTGTGATAAAGGAAGAGTTTCATACCAATTGCATCTTTTGAGTGCCAGGTCAGACTTGAAGCTTGGCGTTCTACCACTAACTTGTGTTCAATGAACAATGAAACTAATTTAGGGAGAAAATTTAAGCATTAAGTATTTTAAAAAAAATAATCTTCTGTTCAAGGTATGTTTTGGGAAGATATACAGGTGCTTGCAAAGGCAAAATGGAAAGTAAACAGGGGAAAAAGTGACCTCAGAAATGGTTTGGAAGAGTGTGTGTCTAATGCATCTGTTCCAAATACCTCTCTGAAAGCCAGAGAAGGGGAGGAGTGGATGGAGTCAACTGAAAGTGGTGTGGGTTGGTTTGGTGGGAGTAACTTCTGGCAGAAGCTG